GCAACCCCAGCCCAGTCCTGCGCCGCTCCTCCTTGGCCAGGTGGGAGGCAGCGGGCTGAGCCTCGGTGTCCCTGGCCCAGCAAAGGCGCCAGGGATGGGGACGGTGACGACAGCATGGGCAAGGGCTTTGCCCTCTGCCTCGCCGCTCCCAGTGGTTCTGCCTGCCTTTTCCAGACAGGGCCTCACTGTGTGGCCCAGGCCTGCTTGACTCTCCTGCCTCAGCCTCCCAAGTGCTGGACTTATAGGCGCGTGCCGCGGCACAGGACCGGTTCGTTTCTGAGTGGAGTGTGTGGCTGTGTACTGGGTGATCAGGAACACTTCCGGGCTGACTGAAGGAGGATCGTTAGTTCTGCGTGAGCGTAGACTGCCCTTTGAGTGAGTCTTCTGACTTCCTCTCCTGTGGCCCCTCTCCTCTTCCTGGCCTCCCTCCCTCCCTGAGGCCCATCTGTGGGCCGGGCAGGGTGCTAAGCTCCACACACTGTCTTTTCCTTCTTTGATTCTTCTGCACGGCTGCCCCGGTAGGTATCACTAACCCCCACCCCCCTATTTTTAATTGGAAAAAAATTGTATTTTGGAAGAACTCACTACATAAGGTGACAGAATGCCAAAATCAAGTTACATGAAAATATACATTGTTATTTCTTTGTACATTAGTTGAGAAAAAATCTGCAGTACAGAAGAATAGAGGCAAAGAAACATGAAGGACTAAGAAGGGTATGAGGGCAAATAGCATTTTTAATAGCAGTCCTGGAAGTAAAAAGCAGTTATGCCTGCTTTATTTATCCACCCTTCATATTGGGCTGTTGAGGACAAAATAAAACTAAATAAGAATTTTTTATTGTTTGGGGTAAGTTTCGGTGAGCTGAGTTTAGAACCAACCATTTTTTTCAGTTCTTGGGGACAATGCCTGGGTACAAGAGCTCTCAACAGCCAGAAAATATCATTGCTCATCCAGGCCAAGGGTGCGACTACAATACACAAAGGGCAAGGCGCGGAGTGATGGCCGCCACTCTGGCGTCACCATTGAAAATCAAGCCACTGCTTATCAACTGTCAGTATTTGAGCTAAACCATTTGCAAACTTTCTGTCAGATGGAAGAGACAAAAGCAAAAAGGAGCAGGTCAAACGAAGAAGATGGAGAAGTTTAGCAAGTGAAAGGGTTTTAACGAAGCCTAAAGGATTCAAAGGAAATTAAGTGGGAATTTTTAGTCCTAATCACTTTTCATCTGACATGCTTTATGGAATCTGATAAAACTGATAAGAAACGGTGAGTAAGGAAAGAAAACCTGCTAACATCTTTTTGAATTTACACAATTCTTATTCTACAGGAAGGCATTATGTGGTACAAGGTGTGGATGTGGATGCCATGCACTGTCTATCTACGATCCGGGTCGGGCTGTGCTACCTACCGGTCTCTGCAGTTCTTCCTGAAGGGGAAACTGTCTCGTAGAATTCAAAGTGTGCAATCCTCTGAGAGCTGGCTCTTGTCGGGCTCTTGTGGCACTGATGACTGGCGTGTTCTTTTGTGGCCCAGTCCGCCCAGTGCTTGCCAACTTGTTAGGACAGAAGTCCAGCTGTAGGTGGGCACAGTGCAGGAAAACAGTGCCATGTTTCTGCAAGGAAACTCTGAAATAAGTGACATTTCTAGATGCTGAGTGGGTGTCACTCAAAAGCAGTTTCTTGGCTTTTTCTTGCATGGCGGGCTTTTTTCTTGTAGGTTCTCCATTTCTGTCTTCCCTCCGTTCTTTCACAGTGGCCACATTAGCAGCTGAGTCGCCATTAGGGTCCGCCGGCACGGAAATGACAGGAATCGTGATGCTTTCCACAGTGTGGGTAGGGAGCCAGCGCCCTCTGGGTTTCCATAACCATATTTATCCTCACTAGGTTCCTGAAGGATAGAAATGCAAATGTCACCGTTTTTATCAACATTGGGTGCCATGTTTCTGTAATGAATTTCATTTTAGGAGGCCGGAGGGGATAATCTTTTGGGAAAGTGAGATGAGCCTTAAAAACACCAGCTTCATAAAGTGTATCAGGAGGGCCAGTAATAAGTACTTCCCACCGGTAGAGACCGCTGTCCTCTATTAAACCTGCCGAAAAGCTTTCCACTGGATTTTGGTTGAGTTAGTTTGTAGAGGTTTCAGTCCCTTGTGGCCTGGCTCCCAGGCAGGGAGGCACATTGCAGAGGGGCTCCACACAGGACAGATGGTCCAGAGTAAGCAGGCAGGGGAGAGCCACAAGCCCCCTTTTGCGGATGAGGAAATAGCAACTTAAACCAGTTACGTAGCCTGGCTGAGACCTAACAGTGCTGCCAAGCTGCTGACTGGATTCGAGCCCAGTGCCTTTCATCAGTGCTGTACATTGCTCCTCTCCGTCTTCCTGTCTCCTCTTTGGTCTTACTCTTCTATTTATTATTTCTTCTGTTCCAAGATGAAAGTGGGTTCATCTGAGCTCAGAGCTGAGGTGGAAGAGGTCACTTGCGAAGGACCTGGTCCCTTTCTCCCTCCTCTGCTGTCTTTCTCGGAGCACACAGACTGCTGTCCCGTGCAGGGCCGGCCCCCAGTGCCACCGCAGCAGGACACATGCGCAGTTACTTCCTGTGCACAGGGGACGGCTGCTGTGAGCTGGCGGGGACAGGCTGGAGTTGGCAGGGGCGTCCTCTGCAGCACCCCCCGTCCTCACCTCAGGAGGTTCAGATCAAGTTCGCAGTGTAAACTGCGTGCTCCAGAGCAGCAGCTGTCATCAGTGGCCCTCTGGCTCTGTTGATGCTGGGCAGGTGTCTCGGTACATGGAGGTGGCTGGAGCCGGCAGGAGGTTGCCGGGCCCTGTGTGCAGTGGTCAGGGCCAGGTGTCGCCCGGCCTGTGATGGAACCCGAGTGGCTGACTTGGAGCCGGGCAGGGCAGCACAGGGACAGTCTGCTCTTGGGGATGTGAAGATTCTGCTAGTGCTTGATCTTTCCCTGGTTCCCTGACACCGTGGTCTGCGGTGTCTGTTTTTCTGTGGCTCCAGGCAGAGTGGCTCCCTGGAGCTCCTTTATCTGACTGCTTTCTACTTGAATTCTTATATTGGACTTTTTTTCTGCATCAAGATGCTTCTGAAATATCTGCTTTCTAAGTCAGGGAAGATAGGGACTTGGATCTCTGTGATTCACCCTGACTATGTTCATATATAACAAAGCCAGAAAGCAAAAGGCACTGAATTAGAGGAGAGCAGCCAGCTGTTTTTGCTTGGCTTTGTGCTCTTGGAATGTGATCAATTATCGGGGGCCGGCAGACCAAACCTGTCACCCTCACAGGGCAGACAGGTGCCGCTCATCTGGTGCCACTGCCTTTTTTAACAGGAACCTTTTAAATACTGAGTGGTATTAAATACTTGTGTTTTACTGCTCCTTCTTCACAAAAGTCTGGGCTTCAGAGGCACGGATGGCTGTTTCAGACTGTGACAGATCCTGCTGCAGATGCTGCACAGAAGCAAGGCCGACCCAGACCTCCCTCCTCAGTCCCTCCCTCTTTTCGGGGTGGTGGTGGTGTTTCCATAGCAACTGGGCATGCCACGAAAGTCACCTGGATGTCTGGCCTTTGCGTCTCGATACTCTGGCTCATTTTCCGTGGTGTCTGCTTGGATATTTTCTCCTTTAGCTCTGGTCCAGCACTCTTCAGAGCGGAGGTCTTGTGTGGAAGAGGACCAGGCATCCAGCTCCTGGTTTATATATATTGAACTGTACGTTATTATTATTTCTCCATGCAACACATCTGTTATGTATGCCAACACCATGCTAAATGGCCTGTCTGGCTGACCACCTTAACTGGGGCTTATTTTGGGGGTAGGCTCATATCACAGGCATCCTTACAAAATCACGCCGGGACTTATTTCCTGGCCAGGCCTGATTTTTGGGGGATACTCTATGTGTCCTGACCAGCAGGGCACCAAAACCGCACTCGGAACTGGACTCAAGCATGCATAATTGGGGGAAATGCTGCCCACCTCTGCCACCTCTGGTGCCTGGGACCCGAGAGCCGGATGAGATGTGACAGGGACTCTGGGTGCTGGGAACCCCCTCACGTTGACGTCCAGCCCAGCCTGTCCTGACCTAAGCCTAACACCCCACGACCTGGGCTGTGACAGTCGGGACGGCAGGAGGAGGCTGCTGTTGTGGGGAGGTCGCCATTGGAGGACTCTGGGGCTGTTCGGGTGTGGACAGCGTCAGACCAGGATGGCATCCAGTGCAACTCTTGCCCAGCATGGTTGGTGCCACCCACGGAGGAGGAGGAGAGATCTGGACAAGAACAAGATGTGGCCAGGGTGGCGACAGTGGCCAGAAGGGCTTCTGCGGTGACTGGTAGGGCGTACCAATGCTGAAAGGGGTGCGGGGAGTGGGGTAGGGACCTGGTCTCGCTGCCCCATAGCACGAAGGGTGCCAGTGGAGAGGAAGGCGGTCCTGGTCTCTGCCAGGGCTGAGGTCAGCAGGGTTTGGGAAGAATGCAGGGTTGGGGACATCGCACCCGCTGCAGAGCGAGTGTCACAGTGAGCATCACTTCACTCTTCACGGGGCCCGGGGCGTGTGCATCTGTGTCCAGCACTGTCCCTGTCTTGCGTGACACTCCAACTCCTCCAGCTGCGCCTGGTTCTCTCCCTCCTCCGTGCGAGTCTGGGCTTCCCTGGAGGGCTGGTCGAGGGCCTGGCCCAGCCCTGCCAATCTGTGACATGGGGGTGGACACAGGTCACCCCGCAGTGGACTTTCAGGAAAGCCCCGTCCCCTCTCCCAGAAGACTGGCCCCAGCTCTCACCCAGCCCTGGCTGGGTGTTTATCGTGAGTCCTTTTGAGTGCATGTTCCTGAGACAGCCTGTTGTTGACTCGCTCCTCCCCAACACAAGCACTCACAGGCACGTGTGTGTACATACACACGCACACGCACACCGTGGTAACTGTCAGCACCTAGACGCCCAATGC